CCAGGGGTGAGGTGTACACCCTGATGGACCAAACTATGACCCCCCACCCCCACTAGGTGATGGAGCTGATCAAAGGAGCCCAGAGCAATCGATCTCATGTGGAGAGCAGTTTCTGTATCAAGACTAATGTAATCGAATAGATAATTTCTATATTGGTTAGAATTAAGATTATTTTTATTTTTCCAGTTCATGAGGACTGTTTTCTTGGCTATGCATAGGGCAGTGAAAACCATATGGGCTATATTCTTTTTTGAAGTGACATTATCTAAACTGCCCAACAAACACACAAAGGGGGAAGTTGGAATGTTACATTTCAGACACTTCGATAAGTCTTCACATATCTCGCGCCAAAACTTCTGAACTGGTGGACAGAACCAAAGAGCGTGGATGTAATTGTCCGGTGAATTGGTTTGGCAGTGTGAGCAGTTGTTGGTAGATGTAAAGCCCATCTTGAACATTTTTTGAACAGATTTTTTAATTTAATGGCACCAACACACTTCCAGAAGGCCGGGAGCATTGTGTTGCATTGCGCTGCATCTCATCTTCTTTTAACAACGCTGTAACCCTTTCAGAACTGAAAGGATCATTTACTGTTCTTTTGAAAAGAAAGAGAATTGTTTTTCCATTCTTGCTTGATAAGCAGTACTGTTCAGCTTCTGAGCAGCGCCTCTGTGACATATTTTTCAAATCATAGGTGTTTTGCTGAAACATGCAACACGAGTAAAAAATGCTGTCTAGATTGCAGTATATCTGGATGCAGACTCTTAAGGCTACATATACTGTAGAGGAATATGAAAAAGAAAGTGTCTAAAATACTTTATCCAGTCCTGTTAAAAACTAAGTACACGTTTACTTCTTTCCATAGGTAGTAAGTGCATAAGTAGCAGCTAGGTGCCGATAATCAAATTCACTTGATTAATTGATCATCAACAAGTATGACCAGCTCTGTCAAAACAGAGGTTTGGGCAGCTTGATGACAGCAATGTCAGTCATATTTATCAATTTTTCCCTATTGGTCACTTTGGATTGATGCCTGTGTCAGAAGTCTCTTCCTGTCTAATGAGGGTTCTTCCTCCTTAATATCGCTACCTTTCTACTGCTCAGAGGGGATCATCTAATTCTAAGGCAGGCAAAAGATTTTCCCAAGTGGCCACATGTGAACATCGAACTGTAGTGAAAGGCTGCACCAATAAGCTGAAGTTCATTCAGCTCAGTGTTAAATTTATCTCTTTGTAAGCTTATCGGAGTTGCCCTCCACAACAGTCCCAGGAAATATTAATTGGCCACCAATGATCTGAGTTCTGTCTTATACGTTGGGTCTTTAACTTGCTATTTCATGCATTTTAATGACACTTCCTCTCTGACAGGCACGTGCAGAGGGGGGGCGGCTTGAGCACCCGCCCCTTTCCTGATGGGTGCCCAAAGTGCCCTTTTGTTGAGGCAACTTTTTTTTTTTAAATTATTTTATTTTTTTTTTTAATGTGTGCGTGCGAAGTCCTGTCTGTGCCCCTCAACAATAATATTTAACTATTAATCACAGTTTTGCTAAATAAAAGGATCTGGCTTGCATCAGTCACATGATCAC